CCCGGAACAAGGAGAATTAGCTTTTCACAATTGCCGCATTTTTTGCACAAAAGTATACTTTCGTCCTTACTCGCCAACGCTGTTCACTCTTCTGTTTTGAAAGTTGAAAAAATATAATGGTTTGGCCATCGTATCTAAAATTACTTCGGTCGTGCGAGTTTAGTGTGTATACACAGTGAGATGACGTGTCATTGTTGTTTCAACGGGGCCAGACCAAACATATGCCGTTTTAAAAGCCAATTGCAAACATAGGCCAATTTTAACCTGCGATTTGTCATTGGTTGGCGTGAGTAATGCAGCCAACACATTGGCAACAACGCATCAAGTAAAATGAGAAATTAATTAGTCAGTTGCCATTTCTTTTGAATGCATTTGAGATACCCGATCATCCCACTCGCTCATGTCTTTTTTATAAGCTTGGGAAATTCCCATGAGGATGGCACACTTCTGTTTCCTTTTTTATAAATTTTTAGTCCGTCAAACATGTTGTATGTTTTTTCCGACAAGTGATTTGTTGCAATGCTTAGTATATAATTGCCGCTTTTCCCGGTAGGTCCAATGACATTATCAGAACGACAATAAAAATCTTGAGGCCCTTTTCATTTTTTTTCATTTCACCATTTGTGTAGATCAATTTTTTTTATCCCTCGAAGGGTCTTCGTGTAATAGAATCCATCAATTCGCCAAGTATCCTATAACTTCAAATGCAAAATAAGTTTCCAAAATAACGCTTGTACCCAATATTGGATGGAATAGCCAGAAAACATATTTTATGTGGAAAAACACACTATCTCACTATGTATCTATAAAAAGGATCCCCTATGTGAAACATGACTTAAAGAGTCATTTTCCCTCTCCAAATTGCTCCAAACAAAGACTCCGAGTAACAGCATTAGTTTTAATTGCTGACTTTCGCAACAATGCGAGCGTCATTTCGCTCGGTTCTCGAGACAGAAAATCCTCCAAACACAAGAATGGTTGATCTTGTTCTTAGCATGCTATTTAATAGGAAACGCAATACACTCAATTGGTGTTATCAAATGTAATGTCGAGTCGAGCAATACTAAAGTTTATGAAATTTTCAAAAAAACTTTGTTTTGCGGGAACTTTTTTAGATATGAAATTTTGAATTCGCTCGAAATCCCTGGTTTTCGTTTGTGTCGTCTAATTTCGTGCGTTGCCTCTTCAACACTAGCTCTGCCCCCTCTCTGTTCTCTCCTGTCCTTAAGTCTCCCTCTCCGTTCTTCGCTCCTTCCGTTACTCCTCTCCGTTACTCCCTCTCCGTTACTGCCTCTCTCGTTACTCCCTCTCTGTTACTCCTCTCCGTTACTCCCTCTCCGTTTCCTCACTTACTTCGCCTTCGTTACTCTCCCGTTACTCCCCGTTACTCTCTCTCCGTTACTCTCTCTCTCGTTACTCTCTCTCTCGCGTTACCTCTTCTCCGTTACCTCTCCTTCTCCCGTTACTCTCTCTCCGTTACTCTTCTCCGTTACTCTCTTCGTTACTCTCTCTCCGTTACTCTCTCTCTCGTTACTTCTCTCTCTCGCTACTACTCTCTCTCGTTACTCTCTCTTCTCCGTTACTCTCTCTCTCGTTACTCTCTCTCTCCGTTACTCCTCTCTCCGTTAACTTCTCTGTACTCTGTACTCCTCCGTTACTTCCTCTTTCCCTCTCCGTTACTCCCTCTCCGTTACTCCCTCTCCGTTACTCCCTCTCTGTTACTCCCTCTCCGTTTCTCCCTCTCCAAAATTTATATCTGATCCAGGAGAGTATGTGGAAAAATATGTACGTCTCTACTTGATTACACTTTTTTTTTTTTAATTTGTTGTTTTTTAAATCTGAAATTTAAAGTTCTTAAAGTTAGGAACGAATAATTTAAAGCCAATTTCAAAACCCTTCTGAAATTGTGGGTTTCAAAGCTTCACAGCCACGTTCATACAATATAAACAAAAATAACCGTGCAATACGCTTGATTATTGTTGACCTCAACAGAATCCGAATTGCTGTTGCATCCCGATGAAAGCTTCGGAAGAGTTAATAGATACTTGACTTTCGGTATGCGGAGTATAGAGAAAGATCTGCAACGGTGCTTGGAAAAATGGGCAGAAAAGCACGTTTTGGAGAGCACTTGATATCCATGAAGTGCATTTTTGTTTGTTTTCCGTCAGGAAATATTGTATTGTAGGACACTGATATCGAAAAAGTTGATAAATCTTGCTATATGTAAATTAATTCTCTAACGGCTTGTGTATTCAAAATCCACGTTCTTTTTTAGTTTTTGTCACGGAAAAAGTCTTGTATCCATCTGTTGTCAACGCTAGCATCTAAACCGTTTGGTCGATTTTATCCAATGAGCTAAAATAGAGTGGCTATCCCTATAGTTTCTGCGCTCTTAGTGGAGACTCGCCGAACTAATGGTCGCCATGTTTTTTGAAGTCAAAACATACGCGAGGCGGTTAGGCCGTAACCACCGCCAAACGTGATGCTAGAATACTTTGTTTCCCAGAGGGCGCTGCTTTGACTGCAAAAATCATGGCTTCAGTTTGCTTCAAAGATGGAGGCGTTTCAGACACACTATGTAGTACATTCTAGCTCGTTGATTTTATCCAAAGTTGATATTCTCCGATCTGACGAATTTGAAACGATTATTGATATTTGATATGCTAACTCACATTTTACTATTACTCATATTGGTATTTGACATATGATTACTCATTAGTTAGATCCCCTTTTGTTGGTCACCGTATTTTCATTTTGATATGAATAGTCTAGTAAGAGTGTAGCATAAGTTTTTTTTCTTCGAATTTTCGCCCCGAAACTTGGTTATGCAACTATACGCTGGCAACCGAAGTTAAACTAGAATGAGATAAGTGGATTTGAAAAAGTTACTGTACCGAAAAGTCCTGGTTTTCCAGAGCTCACGGTAGAAGACTTAATTTGTTTTCTGGAACATATCAGTTAGATGAAGAAATTTCATCTTTATCGGAAATGTTTACAGAAAACATCCATTTACAATATCTAAAATTAAAATCAACTAGCCTGAATTTCGAAATCCGGAAGTTCGATCACGACACACAAAGAAAAACAATACTTTGTGGAATATCCCGATAGTATTGAATCTTCAGAAATACTACGATATTGTTGCGATTGTGCAAACTGTGTTCGCTCAAATAGATGTTGCTCGCAGATTGCCGACATATTTTATTACTTTCTCTGTTGGGATACAAAGCAATAACTATAAGGCTAGCAAACTTTTTTAAATCTATATTTGGATACGATATAAGTCCTGTATTAAATGAAGAAAGCGACGAAGATTCATCCAATTACATTTGTTATATTATTGTTAAATACATATTTGTTAAATATTTGACATTTTCCGAAGTGTTATTGTATTATGACTTATAAAATGTCCTTCTTTGTAACACCAATTTTCAATGCATGATGTATATCCATTTATAAAAATAATTAGACACATAGTCATTATTTTTTCAAATTCCATTATGTCAACAACTATGATACAAACAACATTATCGATTACATTTACTTACCTACGAATATATTAGTTTTAGTTTGTTGATGGTGAATATGTAATAATAAAAATTAATTGATATTTAAGCACTTAAAACATTTTCTATTACATTAAAAATGTGTATCAACTATTTTTTTTGTTTGTATACACCACTTAATCTAAAATTCTTGACAAAATTCTCATTTAAATTGGAGTTAAATCTCTATAATTGATAATTATTGAAAATCTCAACTAATTAGAAATTACTTTTCTTTTAAAATCCGGTGGGGCTGTGGGCAACATTGAATTCTTAAATAGGAACCCCCATTTTTTAAATTTCATATTCGGATTCTACGGACAATAATACACAAGATCGTCTGAAACTTTTTTTCTGATTTGTGATAAGTGGAGCTGTAATCGCAAAAAATTGATTTCCTAAGATTTCCGACTGTAATTTGAGTGGTTTTGAGCGTGGTCGATTATTTCTGAGTGGTTAATAAAAATCAGTATTTTCTACGGAAGTCAATAAAGTACTTTTAGCGCAACCCAGGAACAACAACGTGGTACGACGAGTTGTTTTCTGTTCCTTTCGGGGCGCTTGTTTTCAGTGAGTCCCCTTGCCTCTCACTATTGGGGTGCTTATTTTCAGTGGGTCCTTTTGCCTCTCACTATCGGAGTGCTGGTGTTCGATGATTCTACAAATACCTCAGCTATTAGCCTCATTTATTTAAAGTAAGTGCTCAAAATGATGGCCCTGAACCTCAATGCATTTATTGATTCGTACAATTGAACGAACACATCGCATAAGCATATCTGGTGTAATCGCGACACAAGCGTCCCTTATTCGTTGCACCATGTTTTCACGAGTAGTAGGTGTTTCTTTATAAACGTCATCTTGTAGGTAACCCCCCCCCCCGCCCCCCCAAAAAAAAAAAAACAACAAATCTGGTGAGGTAAGGTCTGGTGATCTGGCTGGCCAGTGCACTGGTCCTTCTCTACCGATCCAACGATTATTGTAATCCCGATCCAATACCTCGCGAGCTACTAATGAGTAATGTGCTGGGCGACCATCATGTTAAAATCACATATTTTGTCACAATTCCAAACTTACGTCTTCCAGCATTCTCGGTAGTTCTTTATCAAGAAGGTTTCGGTCTTGTCACCATTTAGATTATCGACAATAAAGAATATTCTGATAAGTTTATCGCCAATTATTTTACACCAAACGTTAACCGACCACGGTCGCTGACGATTTACTTGACGAATCCAGTGTGGGCTTTCTATACTCCAAAAATGCATGTTATGGCGGTTAACTTCACCGTGGTTTGTAAATGACGATTCATCAGAGAATAGTACTTGAGTAAAAATGTTCGGATTCATTTGTATTCTCTGAACTGCCCATTGACAAAACTGTAGTCTGTTTTGAAAGTCATTGACAGTTAATTGCTGATGCAAAGATACTGAATACGGATGAAATTTTTGTTTCTTCAGTATCCTACAAACACTCATACGAGGAATCCCTGATTGTTGAGATATGTCTCGAACACTCTCATGTGGATTATGAGCTACAGCAGCCAGTACTGATATTTGATTATTTTCTCCGGTAGCAGAAACTTTACGAATTCTTTTCTTAGGTTGTACACTTCCGTCAGTAGAGAATTGTTGAACAATTCTGACGAAAGAAGGACGCGATCGTACTCTGTAAGGAAAACGTTGAGCATACAAATTAACAGCAGCGTCGAAATTTCTCCCAGCTTCGCCTTAAATGCAAAAACATTTCAATTTTTTCTTGCACATTTACATAATGCATGATGCAACAAGGAGGAATGTTAGTTCAGAAAGGTAAATGTTTAATAAATATCGGATCGCCTGTGAAGTACTGTAGGCACGGACCACCGAGACGCTACCAACAAATTGACGGGTGTGCCCTGAGGCCATATTCCAATTACAGTCGGAAATCTTCGGAATTTAAATTTTTGCGATTACAGCTCCACCTATCACATCAGAAAAAAAGTTCCAGACAAAACTCATGTATTTTTGTCCGTAGAATCGGAATCTGAAATAAAAAATGGTGGTTTCTATTTAAGATTTCAATATTGCCCACCGCCCCACCCCCTGGGGGCAGGGGGTGCTGATAGAATGATTCTCCCTTCAAAACTGTTAAGATTTGGTCTCGGTTCAATTTCTCGTACATCGCGTATTTTTTGAGTTTTTTCAAGTTGTCAAGTTAAATGGGATACCTGTATATATTGCAGCATTCCAAAACAACCAATTTTCGTTACTTGCTCTTATATTACTCTAAATGTTTAGCCAGATTTGATTCCTTCGATTTTATTTGTTGTTGTTTGTTTTTCAGCGTAAGATAGCCACTCCTGAAAAGCCAGAAGGATCAAAACCACCATCGAGAGGGCCTATTGAAACGATCACATCTCCGTATGATAGATTCACTCCTAGACAAGGATATGATACTCCTGCACTTCGTCAGCTAAGGTGAGTAACTACTTTATTATAATATTTGATGGCCATGTACAGTCTTTATACGAGGACGTTTCGGCGTAATTTTGGCTTGAAGTGAAGGTATTTTTGTTTTTAAATCGCCGATTGTTTCCTTGCTCGTGCGCGGGCAAGCTCGGTTCTGGGCCGACGAAGCTGCAGCGCCCCTGTTTTCATGTTTCAAGGCTCGTGCAAAGGAAATGGCACAAGTGTTTGTAGTGATGTTTGACAGTAGTGTTAAAAGTATTAATAAAAATACACCATGTCGCAGCACCTAGCAAGATAATGTTTGTTTACATTTTATTTTGCGTCTGAAACAGCTGAGCTGCTGTTGGAAGATAACGGACGCGAATTTGCAAAATTATACCGCCAGAACAGTCGTCCCAAAATATATATATACCTATTTTTATTTTACTGTTGATTTCAATCAAATATTGGAAAAATATTTGTCTATGTTATAATTATGGTTACATAAACGCCTATGCAATATTTGTAGTTTTTTCCCGTGAAAAAAACTTTTCAAACAGAATTTCAAAAATGATAAACACCCTGCTTATTGATGAAATGTCAATGGTGATGAGGTCATTTATTTAGAATATTAGAATAGCGCATTATACTAGCTTTAAAGATCTATTTTTAGTAAAAATATAAAAATATTAGCCAAAAACTGTCAGTCGACTGGAATCAAGAACTAGTCCAGAAAGACAAGGACGCAAGTTATCATAAGAGTTGATACGACTTTAAGAAGCCTTTCAGTCAATCAATATATTTGTACAAATTGTATAAACTTATGAACTTTCAAAATTTTAAAATATAAAGTGTTCAAATGCCGTAAACTAGTGTGACTTGGTGACTGGGGACATACCCTAATATCTTATTTGAGATGACGTTGTAGTTACAGTAGATGAAATAGGACTGTGGTTCCTAAACCAGCCTTCATGAGTAAAAGTAAACTCATTAATATCCCGCTTTTTATTTTACCATAACATGTGTTTCAAGATTTCATGAAAGCATTGCAGAACTTCGTGTGCAGTTTTTACTAGTTACATCTTCTAGTTTTCAAGTTTGCTTTGGTAAATGTGTATATTGTGGTAACTGCGAGTGATAATATATGTAATTAAAACATTTTGTTTAGTAGTTGATTTATTAGTGAAATGTTGACTATTTACGGGCTCAGTTGATGAAATTGTTTTGTATTCATTATTTGGCACACAGTTACGAGATGCCGCAAACCTCTTTTTTTTTCTTCTTCTTCTTTTTATTTTTCTTCTTCTCGCACTATGGTCCTCTAAGTTTAGCCTTGAACGAACAATGCCCACTCACTTCTGTCTTTTAGCTTTCTTCTCCACCCCCTCACTCCCATTGATATCTCAAATCCATTTCGACATCTAGCCATCTTAAACGAAGTCTTCCTTTCTTTCTTCTTCCTTCGGAATCTTTATAGATCATTTTGGTGATTCTTTTTCAAACATGGCAAATACAAAGAGAGCAGCTGTTTTTAGGCCAATACATAAGCTGCTCCTATATGAAAAATATTAGAAGAAATTATAAAGAAAGAATTTAACGAGTATATTTAAACAAATAAAATAATTGAATTGAATTTGCCTTATTTTACGTGGCGAGACTCGGGCCATCAGGCCCGCTCTTACTAAAATTATAGAAAATGAACAATCAGATTTCAGAGAAAAACGGTCATGTGAAACTGCGATACAAGGAGTTTTAGACGAATGGAAGATAAATATTGATGCACAAAAGAGAGCAGGAGGTATCTTCTTGGATCTCAAGATGACATTCGAAACTTGACAGGACAAAGCTTATTGAGAAAATGTACAAATACGGAATCAAAGCTGACGTTAAACAGTGGTTTATTTAATATCTTAACGAGAGAAAACAAAAAGTAAAATATAGTCATATTATCTCGGAGATGAAATTAGCGTAGATTTTGGTGTTCCACAAGGGTCGGTTTTGGGTTCAGGATTGTTTATACATTTACAATGACAATTTACAATTGACTTAATCAAGTTTATGATAAACCTATTTGGGAATGATTGTAAAATTCTATTATTTGTTGATGACACTGACATTGATATGCACATGGCTGTTAGTAGGTATTTTTTCCCTTCGGATTCTGGACATGGTCCAGTAAGCATTGACATTCGAAAAAACTTCCGCTATCAGCACAATTTTGACGGAGCCTTCGCGTCCCCTCCACCCCGGTCTTTCCAGCTTTCTCGTAACAGACGCACGTTCGTACAGATGTGTCCGTGTTATGGGAACGACTTGGTCAGTAGAAATACTTCGCAATTCTATTGTAACTCCCAAGTGACAATTACAGTAACACTGCACAACTTAAGAATTTTTCCTCTGAAGACACGCGGAATTTTAATCATGACAGTTTCTTCCCTGTTTGTTTTGGTGAACTTCGACAATCGTTGCTCATCTTAACGGGTAATGCTACTTTTCTGTTCCTACCTGCTTCTAAACTGTCTCGATAATACCGAGTAATTCCATACATTTGCGTTCCACTTCCAGCGTTGTTGGATCGAGTGAGCTTATCTCTGAGACTTCGTCTATGACACCTTCGGAGGGACCCGTCGCTGACATCGTCCGCGTCGCGCGTGTTTCATTGTTTAGCAGCACCATCACCCGCCACTTACCCCCATGTCCTCCCACCACACGGCTTTCTTGTTGGTTTCCGTGTCCCCATTTTTCTTTGCTTGCCCCTGGGCCTTCGCTCGCGTAGGCGTCTCCCGCCGCCGTCGCTGCTGTTTCTGCCTCCACACTCTACGCGTCATAAGCCATGGCCACAACGCTTTATGGCTGGACGTATGCATTTTTCTTTTCCCAAATCAGCATTGCCGTCCTATTGCTCAAAATATAGTACAGTGCGTCGCTTTCTTTTCGAACGACGGCCTCTTGTGTTTGGACGGTGCCGAAACTCCCTGCCATAGCAGCGACAGGTAAATTAATAGGGTGTATATCTAAGGGTTGCATAATCCAGACAGCTTCACTCGTCAATAATCTGTCATGTACTTCGCATTCATATCTACCCCGCACCCGCGTCTCTCAGAATGGACATGTTGTGGCCATTATTCACCGACGTGAGACTGCAGGAGATCGTCTACTCTTACTTCCTGAGAATTTATACTTTTCGTATCTTCGCAATTTTTAGGACTTTTTTTAAAGTGCTCCTCGGGCTCCCACGTTAAACATGCAGGTTTCAAGGGCCTTTCTAATTCTGCATAATTCCCGCGTTTTCTTTACAATAGAAGTTTTAACCGAGAATGTAGGAGAGGTCTCCGCTCGATCCTTATTTGAGAAAAATGCATGTATTTCTTGTAGCCTACCCTATTCTCATTATTGTCAGTTGTATTTCAGGATTGAATTTGTATGTCCCTAACAATGTTGCCTTGGCAGTGTCGCCTTTTCTATCGCGAAGGGATAACCACGAATTTGCATGTTGGGCAGAAAGCACATAAATCCATCACCCAGTCATCGGCCGGAATATCTAATCTAGTGGCATAGCTCTCGAAAACATTACAAAATGTGTGACGTCATCAGTCTCCCCGGAATTTATTCATTAGTTGATGCATCTTTATTTGCGCCTTTGAATAGAATTATGGAACTAGAAATATGGACTTCCTGGACATAGTAACGCCCGAAATCTCCATCTCAAACTGTCGTTCTTCCCGTCTGCGTTCTCGTCTCGCGTTCGTGTTCCCGCTCTGCGCGTTTGCATTCCTTATTAATTGATTCTATCATGATTTCCACGAATTCCTTTTATATAGCCCTTCTCCGAAATGAGTTGACATAGTTGTGCCTTCGAATTGGTCGGGGCCGTCTCTCCTAGATCCCAAACGTCCTTTCGAAGTCTCCCCAAATACGCCATTCGGATGCCTGAGAGACACGAAGAACGCTCTGACAAGCACGATGGCTACACATTTTGCTGCACTGCCTTCGGTGGCGGTGTTAGGTACTGCAGATGGTTGTGCTGGGAGAGAAGCGGACGTGAGAAGAATTTATTTTCTTCCTCTCCTTCCTTCCCGTGCCGCTCTCCGCTGTTCATGCAACCCTCCGTGGATCGTTCCACCACAGCTGTGATTGTACTGACCCACTATGGGCCGGTTTCACCAACAGCCGAGTAAAGTTAAGAGTAGTTACCAGAGAGTAACCATTTACTCTAAGATAGTAACTCTCGTGTAGAATATGACCGTTTCACCATGCTTCTTGAGGGTTATTTTACTCTAGAGTACACACTCTCCGATTTATTCCTCGAATCAGCTGAACGCGCAATACTTGAGAGCGATTCAAGAGGCTGTGAGCGAGAGAGACGCTAGGAACCAATGCGGACCAACGCGAATTCCTTATATTCCATCATTAATTTCAGTTTTGGAGTTTTTGTAGTTATAATCTGGTGTGGTGTTATGGTGGTTTGGGTTAGCATAGTTTATTTCCTAGTTTCTGTTCTTTATTTCTTAATAAATATTCATTCTTTTCTGGAGATGAGTTACTATTTTGTTAGCAATGCAGAAAAATCAAATTCGCAGTTAGTTTACCGATGGCGGTGCAAATGAATTTTCAATAAGTAGGGAACGAAAATGTTTAGTTTTTCAAATGTTGATCTCGTGTTTTCCTAAAGTTTATTATTATTTGTTGTTTTATTTTTTAAACTTTTATTCACCTTTCAACTATTTTTAGTTAAAATGTAGTAAAGTTCCGAATCATTGCTTGAATCGTCTTGAAAAGCTATAATTCGTAAACGTCGAGCCGTAACAACACTTTGAGGTACATGCACATTGAAAACAGAATTTACTACGTACTTTACCCGACGGATTTTCACAATGAAAAGTTACTCTCAAATTTACTTTTGTGTAAGCGATTTACACTCGAGTAAAGTGTTGGTGAAACGCTCCAAGAAGTTACTCTCGAGTAAACATGATTTACTCCAGAGTAAACTCTTACACTTTCTTTGGTGAAACCGGCCCTATGTTGTGGTA